TGAGACAAGGTCTCCCTATGATGCAGTTCAGATTGGGGCTTGAGCTTGCACTGTAGCCCAGGTTGATCTCAAACTCACAATGATCTTCCTGTCTCAGTCTCCCGAGTGCTAGGATTATAGGCCTGCGCCACCACGTCTGACTCAAGAATGGTGATTTCTCTTTTTTTTTTTTTTTGGTGGAACCAGGGATTGAACTCAGGCTATCTCCCTGGCCCTTTCAAGAATGGTGATTTCTTAAGAGCTAAAAGGTTGGAATTTTGACAACTTGTAGAATGGAAGGAAAAGTTTCCATCACATGACACTGGGGACCATGAACTATAAACTAACACGGTATTTGTTTAGGGATCTCCATAGGCTGGTTTTGCTAAGAGGAAACCACCTTCTACTAGGTCAATGAGATTAGCACCCAGGTGTGGGGATGGACTTGGCTTGTTTCCTTGGTGATGTTAGAACTTTCCCATTCTACCACAGCCTCTATTCTGTTCCAGGAAAAGCACCCTACCCCCTCCCGTGCACTGGCTAGTACTGGCTAGCTTGGAGTGTCTATGTCTTTGCCCATCCTGAAACACTGACCGCCCAGGCGCCCATTATGCATTACTAAATTTTTCTGTTTTTTATTTTATCCTTTTACCATAGCCCTCCTACTGGCAGTTGGGGATCTTGTCCAGGTCCCTGATAATATACCTATTATATTTTTAAATCACCAAGTCATGTAAATATACTACCAATTCAGAACTGAATTGGTAAAATTTTCAATCTGTAAAGAGAACTGATAACAGAATGCTTAACTGACAGAACTCTGAATAATTAAAAACTACAGATAATTTTTATGCACAAAAATAATAACCAAGAAAAGATCACTTCCCAGATGACACAGTTAATCTCCATAGTTACCAAAGAACCTATCTATATAGATTATTGTTTCTGACTATAGTACTGTAGCCACAATTAAATAACAAAGACTGAAATACATTTTAAAACATGATTTTAAATCGCTCACTAGAGCCAGGGAGATAGCTCAGTAGAATAAGTGCTTGCCTGGCAAGTGCAAGGTCCTGAGTTCAATCCCCGGTACCATAAATAAATAAATAAATAAATAAATAAATAAATAAGATAGATAGATAGATAGATCACTAGTCAAAGAAGAAATTATAAGGGAAAATACAAAAAAAAATTTTTTTTGGCCAGGTCAGCCTGCCCTGAGGGCAAGGATGGCACAGCATGTGATGCCAGGGATCAAACCACGGTCCCCTGAGCCTGCCTAATCTTGCCTAAGCAGGCGCTTTAAGCTGCTGAGCTATGTAACTGGCCCCCCCAAATACAAAATATTTAGTACTGAAAAATGTAAAGACTGTATCAAAAGCATGAGATTCACTTTGAGAAAAATGTTCATTTTGAAAAGAAGACTGAAAATTGGGGGACAACCCGCTCGGGCTTCCCTCCTGTCCCTCTCTCGGACAGGAGCTTTCTTTCCCTTAATAAATATATTCTGCTCATAAAAAAAGGACTGAAAATTATTAAACCAAGTATCCAACTTAAAAATCAAGAAAGAAAAGGGTTGGAGATATAGCTCAGTAGCACAGCTCCTGCCTGACAAGGGCAAGGTTGCAGTTTGATTGCCA